CAGTGAGTTCCTACCAGTAAAAGGACAATGCTCTCTAATGCACCACAAGTAACGCCCCATGACAACAACCGTCACAGCTGGTCATGTGATGTATATAATCCCTCGAATTAGGAATGGCCATGACTACCACTGCCAGCAGCCACCCACCTGGTGGGAACGAGGGTGACTTCAATAGCCACCACCCACACTCTAGATAAGTACAACTGAGTTGTATAGAGCGCCACTCACACAAGGCCTTCACAGCACTTTACAACACAATCCCAGTGAAAACCCTTAACATTAAAGCGAAGAGTAAAACAACCCTACACAGACGGATATGCAAGATAAAAATAAATGTGTTTTAAGACGAGCCTTAAAACACTAACTAACGGACTGGGGCAAGAAAATGATGAAGCCGGAGAATTGAATGGTCGTTGGCACAAGGCACTTTCCTTATATTTGATCATAAACAGCCAGGCACATTTCAGCCCAATGGAAAAAGGACAATAACCCAAAGTTTTGCTTCATTTCAAAAGATAAGAATGGACAGCTCCAAAGATCTGAGACAGGCCGGCAGTCACACATATTGGATTACTGATACAGGTGGTCATGACCTTAAAACCATGGCCGCATTGTAACTTTCAGAAGACCAACTGGACCAGCTACGAAAAATAAACCGAAGCTTTATTAAAACCTGAAAACTTTGACGAATTCATAACAATTCTGACATCTGCCGAAAAAGACACCATCCCGAGGGCGCATCGGAAAAGCTCTTCGCCATGTTGGCAACCAGAAACAGAGAACTCTTGAAAAAGTTCATTAGAACTAGTGACCAAGGTAAGGGCACCACACTGCCGACTCCCTGAACTCTGCATGAAGAAAACGTTGGGAAGACATCACTGCAGACTTGGACTTTACTCACTCCATCCTGAGCTGCTGAAGGACCTGGGACTGTGTGGACAACAATGGCATATACACTCCTTCACCATCATACACGGGACAGGCAAAATCCCAAATGAATGGAAGCAAGTCTGAGTCATCATCATTCTGAAACACAGAAAGCCTCAAGAATTTCCCTTCAGCTACAGGCCAGTATCCCTCTTGTCCTCCACCTGCAAGCGGATGGAATGTGCCACGCTTGCTCGCCCCAACGTCCTCCCAAACAAGCCAGATGTCCAACTGGCCACAGCTGCTGCGAACAGATCGTTGCCTTCACGACCCTGAATGAAACTGGTTTCCAGCATCAACATAAAAACTGTCACAGCAACGATCATATTCTCTGGTGCCTATGCCACTGTTTGGCATCATGGCCTGCTGCTGAAGTTGGCCAAACCCACCAGATGCCATTCTACTCTACACCTAATCAATGTGATGCTTAGCAAAACTGTACTTCCAGGGTACACCTCGCTGATAAACACAGCCACAAACGAATTATGAATAATGGCCTCCTCCTGGTACTGGCACCACCACTATTTATCATACGCATGAGTGACCTGGCATTCACGTAATTTCGCAAAATCACATATGGAGATGACACAGCTCTTGCTGGACAGCCCACACACCTCGAGGACATTGACACTGAACTCCAACAGCTGATCGCTCGTCTGGGATCGTGCTTGCAGCATTCTAAAATCTCACCGAGATCCCGAAGAACGCCGGCGAACAGTCGAACAGCGTGGACGTCCAGACATAAACACCTCAATGGAGACCATGACATCGCACCTCCTGGCTTTGACATTGGTCGAAGTAACAGGGTGTAACCATCAGAACATCAACAGGGCGCTGTAGACATGAATATAACATTAAAGACGAGGCCACGACACCACCATGGCCATAACAACCCAAACTATGGAGCACATAGCAACCACTGTAGTCTGCGCTCCTTCAACAAATAGCGAAACTACAACAACTCTCTCCTGCAGTCGATACGAGGTGTTTGGGTTATATTGCTTAAATATAAATATGTCGTTAAACCGCCACCACCTGACACAGCCAATTAATGAGGTTTATCACATAAAGAAAACATGCCAATTCGTTACTAGTTCAGCACACCGGTTGTGTGTTGGAGAGGAAACCCACAACAGTTACCATTCGAGTCCGACGTTTCGCCGGTAATGATAACCAGCCTCATCAGGCGACAGCCACAGTTGTGGTGAAATCCTCCTCCTGTTTCGGTCCTAAATAGACGGGGGATAAGTGTGATGTCGTCACTTGTGAGCCAATCCCAGTGCGAAGAGAAGGGGGGGGGGGGGAATTAATCTCTCCTGAAGCCCTTTCGAAAATAGCAGACCTCGATATTGGTATTTAGCTCCTGAACATAATGCCATCATGCGCAAGAATAGAACTACTAACTTGGTAGCATAAAATATGCTTGGTTTATATTCTCATTTGTGGCCAATGCTGACATTTTGGAACAACCCTGTTTCCTTCCCTTAACATCGTAAATCTTCCTCCAAAAAAAATAAATCTTCCTCCAAAAAAAGGAAAGCTGTCTCGGGTGTGGACCAATCAACTTCAAGGACAGTGCACATTATCAGAGTTATGTCTTTTGTTTGTATTTATGACTGCAGGTATTGCGGTCTATGCAAACATGACTCCTTGCAAAAAGGTGTCAGTTTTGTTGCCAGATAGAAGGGTAAAGAACCAATTATCATATTTTTACTGGCAAATGAGGTCCCCATAGTGTAGATGCTTGCCCCGAGCTCTCATACTCTGATGGTGCATTGTCCTTGAGTTGTGCGCCTTTTGGCGTCATCTGGTCCAACCCATATGAGACTAGGCTCGAAGGAAAGCTGTCTCGGGTGTGGACCAATCAACTTCAAGGACAGTGCACATTATCAGAGTTGTCTTTTGTTTGTATTTATGACTGCAGGTATTGCGGTCTATGCAAACATGACTCCTTGCAAAAAGGTGTCAGTTTTGTTGCCAGATAGAAGGGTAAAGAACCAATTATCATAACTGCGTTTATTTAGTGGTAAATAAACTGCGGCGCAGAGTATTTCTGTTACTCGACAGCTACTAATTGGCGTGTCCAAACGCCGATTTTAAAACTATTAAACAGGGATACAGACACAATTGCACCATTATCAGGCCTCATGTTGTAAAGTGAAGTCTCTAACTATTATTACACACAGCTCACTCTGTGTTGGGACATTGATCGAAACGCCGCCCGTTATGTTTTGTTATTTGTGCACGACTGCCAGATCAGCAGCAGCGGCATCACCACCATCGTATACTTTGATGTAAACACTGCGAGCAGATGCAGCAAGGTACAGGGATGGCCGATTCCAAGATGTTTTGAAGTCGTATCCAAAATTAATTCCCGATTTTGGAATTTACTGAATCGATTTCGACTAAAAATACAACTGTGTTCTTACAATACATTTTATTTGTTGAACGTATTGCTGCCACATTGAAACAGTACAATTTTAGAATTAAGTTAGAAAAACTATTTACAGAAACATAATTAACGTTAACTTAAGGTTCTGCATATTTTATGGTACCTAAATGTTAAAATACTTTAGGATACCTACAAAAAAACATACTTTATTTTGAGAAAACAAGTGTTAAAATAATAACCAATATATAATCACAACACACAAAAAGAACTACTTCATTAAACACCATGTAACCAATAATCATAGTTCACACAATAACTATTTAATACTAACCGCCTCACGCCAACTCAGATTTCGGTGCAATGGGCTTCTCCTCCAGACAGAGCCGTCCCTGGGCTCCGGCAAATAAACTAAAATTGTTACTAAATTGTTTTGTATTTGACCAGGTAAGGCCCCATTGAGTTGTGTATCTCTTTTTCAGAAGCGATGGGGTCATCACAAATGATAGCTCAACCAAGTGGCTATTCACGTGGATATGAAATACCCTCAACACATGATGTTGATTCTAGATGGGGAGGGGAAAAACCAGAGGACCCGGAGAAAAATCCACGCGACCACGGGGAGAGAGAGACACGCAAACTCCAAATATACAGCAGCAGCAGGCGTCAGGGTCGTGATCGAACCCATGACCTCCTGTACACCAGGCGAGGTAGTCAACATCTCATAGCCACCGTGATGATGATGATGAGAGAGAGAGAGACACGCAGACTCCAAATATACAGCAGCAGCAGTCGTCAGGGTCGTGATCGAACCCACGACCTCCTGCACACCAGGCGAGGTAGTCAACATCTCCTAGCCACCGTGATGATGATGATGAGAGAGAGAGACACGCAAACTCCAAATATACAGCAGCAGCAGGCGTCAGGGTCGTGATCGAACTCACGACCTCCTGCAAGGCAGGCGAGGTAGTCAACATCTCCTAGCCACCGTGATGATGAGAAACACCGCAAACTCAAAATATACAGCAGCAGGCGTTGCGTTGTCAGGGTCGGGATCGAACCCACGACCTCCTGCAAGCCAACGAGGTAGTTAACATCTCATAGCCACCGTGATGATGATGGGGGGGTGGCGGGGGGTGAGGGGGGGTAAGGGGGTGTGAGGGGGGGGGGTAAGGGGGGGTGAGGGGGGGTAAGGGGTGTGAGGGGGGTGGGTAAGGGGTGTGAGGGGGGTGTGAGGGGGTGTGAGGGGGGGTGGGTAAGGGGGTGTGAGGGGGGGGGTAAGGGGGTGTGAGGGGGGGGTAAGGGGGGGGGGGTATGAGGGGGGTAAGGGGGTGTGAGGGGGGGTGGGTAAGGGGGTGTGAGGGGGGGGGTAAGGGGGTGTGAGGGGGGGGTAAGGGGGTGTGAGGGGGGGGGGGTGTGAGGGGGGGGGGGTAAGGGGTGTGAGGGGGGGGGTAAGGGGGGGTATGAGGGGGGTAAGGGGGTGTGAGGGGGGGGGGTAAGGGGGGGTATGAGGGGGGTAAGGGGGTGTGAGGGGGGGTGTGAGGGGTGTGAGGGGGGGGGTGGAGGGGGGTGTGAGGGGGGGGGTGGAGGGGGGGGGTGGAGGGGGGGGTGAGGGGGGGGGTGTGAGGGGGGGGGGTGGAGGGGGGGTGTGAGGGGGGGGGTCTCTGCCATTGGTGGGGGAGGAGTTGTGACGTCACGCGGCCCTGGGGAGAGGAGTTCGAGCCGAGCGCGGACACCCACACGGACACCACCATCATCACCTCCACCACCATCATCATCATCGTCATGTCCCGGCGCCTCGTGGAGATCTTCTACGACGTCGTGTCGCCATACTCGTGGCTGGGCTTCGAGGTGACCACTTGCACAGACGAGGCTGCTCGCTCAGGCCCCGGCTCGCTGCTGAGTGCTCCTCGGGCGCGATTATGTCGGAGTCTGCTCCTCTTCCCTCGTCCTGAGCTGCTGCTGCTGCTGCCTGTGTGCGTGTGTGTCACTGTGCGTGTGTGTGTGCAGATCCTGTGCAGGTACAGGAACGTGTGGAACATCGATGTCCGCCTGCGGCCAGCCTTCCTGGGCGGCATCATGGCAGCCTCGGGTACGCAGCCTCGCAGCCACCACCACCAAAGTGTGCGGTGTTCGTGCGGCTGGGGATCTCGCAGTGGCATGTGGAGGAGTGCCGAGGGAAACGGCGGAAACTCCACATTCACGTGACGGGACGAGGCCTTGCGACAGGACACGGCTGTGGACGAGTCCCCTCCGCGGCGTGCAGCAGGCGCACGACGCGCGCTGTGGTCGTGCCACGCGAGAAACTGGCCAGACACAGAGATTACACAACACGGGGGCAGTAAACATGTAACACGGTGGTGCACACGCGTGTACAGTAACACGCGTGTACAGTGACAGTGGTGCACACGCGTGTACAGTACTACACGCGTGTACAGTGAGTGGCGCATGCACGTGTACAGTAACACGCGTGTACAGTGACAGTGGTGCATGCACGTGTACAGTGACAGTGGTGCACACGCATGTACAGTGACATGCGTGTACAGTGACAGTGGTGCATGCACGTGTACAGTAACACGTGTGCACAGTTACACGTGTGTACAGTGACAGTGGGGCACACGCATGTACAGTAACGTGTGTACAGTAATAGTGGTGCAGACGCATGTACAGTAGCACAGTGGTGTAGACGTGTGTACAGTAACACGTGTGTACAGTAGCAGTGGTGCATGCACGTGTACAGTGACACGTGTGTACAGTAGCACAGTGGTGCATGCACGTGTACAGTGACACGTGTGTACAGTAGCACAGTGGTGCATGCACGTGTACAGTGACAGGGATTTAAAGCTTTCGTGACTGCAGGGATTCATCTTGCTTCTTTCGGTAAAGTCGCGTAGAAGAGAATAAATAAAATAATAAAAATAAAATAAAAATTCCCACGACGTTTCGGCCACCCACAACAGCAGCCGGCAGCCCGAGTTTCTTCACCTGAGGACGGCTGCTTGTGTTGTGGCCGAAACGTCGTGAGAATTTTTATTTTATTATGTTTTATTTGTATTTTATTATTTCCCTTCTACGCGACTTTACCGAAAGAACCAAGAAGTAACAGGGGTGTACAGTAACAGTGGTTCAGGTACAGTAACACGCATGCACTTTCATCTATGTGCGCACTTTTAAGCACAGTTCATTGAAAGACAGATACCGACTTGCAGTACTAACACAAACCTTACCCATGTGTACTGTGTAACCTTGGCGAACCTTACCCAGCAGCCCGAAGCCTGATAATCAGTTTGTCCTGACCCCATGCCTCCTGCTATCTTATCCCCTACCCATAAATTCCTTACTTCGACCTTACCGCCAGCAGAAAGCTTCCCAGTAAACATGCAACGTTCATTCAACGTTGCAGTCAGCCTGGGTCTATTAAATCCGCACGGGACATTTCAATACAGTGCAGCACTATAGCAGTACCAGATCTCGACGTAAGTGTGTCCCTGACTCCTGAACGCACGCCAAAGTCTGGGCTGTCCGGGTCAAACACACACAGAAGGTAGCAACCCGAACGGAGATGGGTAGTTTGGTGTTAATGCCAAGATCTAATACTGATTAAATACAAATGTTTAATGCTCATAATGTTTTATCCGCGTCTCACCCCGTCACTGCACATTTTATTATTTTACACGTTTTCTATTAACTCACTCTGTTGTTGTTGTCGTGTCCTCAAATCTTGTAACTCATTTTTAACCCACTTACCAATGTGGTATCGACTGCAAACTTGGTATACTTATGTCATACTGATGACAATACTATATTTTATCATTTAAAATTAAAAAAATATATATTTTTAAACATTATTTTTATATGTTATGTTTCGGCTTGGGTATAATTGTCCACGCTCAACTGACGTTGGCTGTAAATCACCAAGGTCTCTTACGTTACGGCAAGCTTCGGGGCCACTTCCTGGAGTCGTGGAGTTCTGCCATTACGAGGACGGTACATTTCATTAAAGCGTGTTTTTAAAAAAAGTATTTTTAAATATTACTTTTTTATTACCTTGAATCAGTGATGCTTAATTTAGTGGCCATTGACACACTGCGCGTGTCCCTTTGCAGGCAACAAGCCACCGGGTTTGGTGCCCAACAAGGCGCGGTACATGACCAAGGACCTGGAACGTCTCAAGGATTACTTCCAACTGCCCATTGTCTTTCCAAAGAATCCTGCTGAAGCCATGTTCGAGAAAGGTGGGGTGTCTTTGGCAGCCTTTTAACATTCATTGGTTATTTATTTTGACATGGTTTGCGAGGCAACCATCTGCATTGCTGCAGGGAAACCAGATAATTAGAGACGGCAGTACAGCAACTGTGTTAACCTCTGGGATTATTTTCTGGGCACTGGTTATCTTCCACGTGAATAAAAAAAAAACACTCTAGGAATCAAGAATGCGGGTTTCCCTTGCTGTATGCGGGTTGGGTTCCTGCGATTTTCACGTATATACGTGGAGAAGGTATTTCTACCCAAAATTCGCTACTTGCAGTTTGAATTCACGCACATGCAGCTATGCAGTCAGACGTGGGACAACATTGTGTGTACTGTATGCGCTACTCGGCAGGCAGCTGTCTTGTGAAGCTTTTCTCTGTGGGCCCTTTTTTGTTCGGGTGCCACGGTGGTGAGATGTTAACTACCTCGCCTGGGATACAGGAGGTCGTGGGTTGGATCCTGACTGACGCCTGTATATTTGGAGTTTGCATGTTCTCCCCGTGGTCACGTGGATTTTTCTCCCTCCACATTTAGAAATGTGTCTTAGAGTATTTGAGTATTTGACTAAAAAAACTGTTTCATTTTTAATTTAGTTTTTTAAATGTATTTACTGCATGAAGTGAGGGAAACCTGTGTATCCAAATTAGATTTTGATTTAAAGCTTTCGTGACTACAGGGATTCATATTCTTGGTTCGTGACTGCAGGGATTCATATTCTTGGTTCTATATCCAAATTAGGTTTCTCATTAAAATTGTTTTCAAGTGAGGCTTTCTAAGATGAATAAAACTATATGTATAATCAAGAAATGGCTCGGAACTCCTCACACAATTTTTACAAGAACCGTAATACATCAATTCAAAGATCCCCCATATAGCCTTAAAAGACTGTAGGGGCAAGTGCTGTTAGCGATCACCTATAAAGGCCAGGCACGGCACACGAGGGGGTGGGTGGCCAACACCACGCCCGGCCGCCTTTGTCTCCCTAGCGGCGATGTTTACACATCGCACCAGGTACTCATTTGAGGCTGAGTCGACCTAGGGGAGGCCCAGGACCGGTTCGGATAATCGTCACTGGTGTTTGCCGTGAGCGGGAATCGAACCCGGGTCTCCAGGTTCGTCGTGCAGCGCGCTCACCGCTACACTACCGCTCCTCCCCATCAAATGCACACCATGTCACACACTCCCCTCTCGTGTGATCCGTGTTGTCTAGGTGCTCTCGATATTATTCGAAAATGTGAATATGTATTTTGAATGTGCCCGAATTGATAACATTTGTATAATTTGTTTACGTGAAATTTGTCTTCGCATCGTTTACAAGATTCTGAGGTCAATTGGCACCCTTCAATGTAAAATGTTCCCGACACAACAAACCCAGACTTGGAAAAGGAACTTATTCACAATAACACTTGATTGATTTATGATTGAAAGCTTCAGCTCATGCTTGGGGTGCCACCACAGTGGTGAGATGTTGACTACCTCGCCTGGTATACACGAGGTCGTGGGTTCCATACCGACCCTGACAGCTGTATATGTGGAGTTTGTGGTGTCGCTCTGTAGTCCCGTGGATTTTTCTCGGGTCCTCCGGTTTTTCCTTCACATTTCAAACCAATGTGCGTTTAAGAGTATTTGGCAGCTATCAGCTATAATTTGTGATGCCCAGGTCGTTTCTGAAAAAGAGCTACATAGCTTAGTGAGGGCCTTACCTGGTAAAATAAAAATAGTTTAGTTTTGTACACCGTTATGTTATTGTACCAACTTGAAGCTGTCACCCCTTTGCCCTGTGGTGGCACGACTGCTGCTTGAGCCGTGGACTTAATTCTCTCGGCACCCCCTGGCCTGTGCTGCGAGCAGGCTCGCTGGCAGCCCAGCGGTTTCTCACGGCCGTGGACATGGAGTGCCCTGCTCAACTGGAGGAGGCCTCCCGGCAGCTGTGGATGCGCATTTGGTCACGGGTAATGGCACGCTGTGTTTTGGGCTGCACTGCCATTGGGGGGAAGGGATGATGGTAGATGTTGGTCAAGGATAATGACGGAATGGCAGCCAAGTTGGGGAACGTACCCAATAGGACATCTATTAAGAAATGGATCAATTAACTCGCCTCGTGTGTAACTGCTAGATGGATTATTACCAAGTAGGAGCCAGTTGTGGGTTGTGGCTGATAATGAAGCAGACCCCTACGCCTCACATCGTCCCCAATGACTGCTTTGAAAGCATGCAATGGGGGGGGGGGAGAATTGCGTATTCGTACAGGTGGTGCTTAGAGCAGGCAGTTTTGCAAAAATTGGATCCTGAATCTTGGTGATTTTTTCATGATTTTAAAGTGGATTCTGTTGTATAGTCCTGTGTGAGTGCACCAGTAAGATAAACGCAGTCTGCCCGTGGGATGGTCAGGATGCCCAGGGTGCAGGATTGGGTCGGGGTGTAATGCACAAGTGGTGTAAGCAGAAAGGAAAATGCTCAACTGTTCTTTACACTTTGTGATAAAGACTAACAACAGCTGCTCAGACCAGCTTGTGGCATCGCTTGTGATATATTATCTCTCTAGGTTGCCTTGGGCTAGCTATGTGACTATTTCTACCTACGTGACTTTACCGAAAGAACCAAAGAGTATGGATTCTTGCAGTCACGAAAGCTTCAAATCAAGATTGCCTTGGGCTATTTGAGTAGTGTGGCATTTACAAAACAATTCAACAGATGTTAAATATTCCCCAGCCTCTGGGGATCCACAGATTATTCAGCCGTGATGAAGTTACGTTTCCTATTTTAAAGGTCAAAGTCCAAATTCCACAGCAAGCCGGTTATGACGACACTGCACGTGCCAATGCCTCCCATAATTTAAAATCGATATCTCTTCATAGTTGATCTCTATGTTATGGGAGGCATTGGCAGAACTAGACATGATTGGTTCTGCATCACTGGTGGTAGCCCTTACACGTGAAGAGTGTCGAGATTGTACTCATGCATTCATTGATAATAGTAATTCGTTATGGGTCAAACTAATATGCATTAAATTTCGATTTAAAGCTTTCGTAACTGCAGGGATTCATCTTCTAAAGTCACGTGGAAGGGAAATAATAAAATGAAATATTTTATTTTATTTATTATTTCCCTTCTACGTGACTTTACCGAAAGAACCAAGAAGATAACATGCATAACTTAACATTTCCATTTGTGTTTGTGTTTTGTAGGATGAAGACATCACCTTACCTGAGAGTATTGCAGCTGTAAGTTTCTTTGGACCTTATCTGAAACTGGCTTTTTGATAAACAAAATGAAAATAGTTTTTAAAGTGTGTTTTTTGCTATTGTTGTGTACAGATTACTTGAACACTTTATTACCATCCTACTACAATACTGTATCACTCTTGGTCTATGCAAGATAAAGATCCCCCTGCATAGCCTTAACACATTGTTGGGGCAAGTGCTGTTAGCGAGCAGCACCTATGAAGGCCGGCACGGCACACGAGGGGGTGGGTGGCCAGCCCCAAGCCCGGCTGCCTTTGTCTCCCTCGTGGCGATGTTTACACACTACACCAGGTACTCATTTGAGGCTGAGTCGACCTCGGGGAGACCCAGGACAGGTTCAGATAATCGTCACTGGTGTTGGCCGTAAGCGGGAATTGAACCTGGTCTTGCCGCTTTCCTAGCACAGCGCGCTAACCACTACACTCCTGCTCCCCACACACACACACACACAATGTACACGCACAAGACACTCACTCCCTGCGTGAGGCTTACTCATTACATCTCAAGGGGGATCGCTCGGCTGAACAAAATAGTCCCACGGTTCAATTTGCAAGTTCGCGTTTTAAGTCAATATGTTAAAACAGATATATATTTCATGGAAGCTGGTTCGTAAATGCCGGTGTTCGCAAGTCAATGACCGTGCATGTACAGCATGACCGTGCATGTACAGCATGACCGTGCATGTACAGCATTACTCTGGGTGTGTACTCACACTTGGTCACACTCACCAGCAGCCTAGGCCTGAATCCACGAGATGCTTCCCTTCAAACCAACGCAAAGAGCTGAATTTCGCCCTTACCATCAATTAACTAACCTCCCCTCTTTCCCCACCATAATTACCTTTTCACCTCACAACCTCATCTCCCCCCGCACGATTGCCACCTGCACAGACATTCACAACAGTTCAGTTCATTTCTGAAAGCAAGCATGGTTCAACTCTGCCAGTACCCCAAACAATTACCTGTAAAAAAGAACATCTCCTGCAATGTACGAGATCTTAAGCTGAGCAGGTCTTGAGCCTTGAACAGTGGTTGAATGGGTGACAACCGTGCCTTGGAGGGTTTCACAGACAGCTGTCGGGGCTGTGCTACTATGTGGGCAGCGCAGGAAAATGTTGTCCTGTACTTCTATGCTTCATTGATGCTCCCTGTGCAATTGCATATGCAGTGATTGCCACCTGCACGATCAGACACTCATGATTCCCGACTATTGAGTCCTTTCCACTTCCACATTTGCATTGACAGCAATGACATTTGAGATTGTAACGAGTTTCAATTGTTACAAACGTTGTGTTACAACGTCGCCTGCTCCCAGTAACGTTTCCTCCCGTTCAACCAGGCCGCCGCACGGGCTGGGCTACAGGCAGAGCTCGTCCAGAAGCTGCTCGCCATGGCGACGTCACAGCCGGTGAAGGACCGGCTGAAGAGCACAACCGAAGATCTCATGCAGCACGCGGTCAGTGCTCACGCCTCCTCCTTGTTTGCTCCCCGGGGATCCGTCCATCGTCAACACAGTCGCAATGTTTCACGGCGCTTCATACACGTTGCCCCCCCCTCCCCCCCCCATGGCTGCTGTCATGGCCGCTTGGAAGTTGCATCGGTCGTCGATATTCAACATTCTAGACTTGAAGCTTTCGTGACTGCAAGGAATCATATTCTTAGGTGTTTTCGGTAAAGTCACGTAGGTAAAACATCAAAATTAATAAAAATAATAAAATAAAATAAAGATCACGACGTTTCGGAGGCAACACAAGTCTCCGTCATCAGGTGGGACCGTCACAGCCAGATCAGCTGAATCAAGTGAGGCAATGATTCAAGATGTAATCCCTTAAAAGCGAGGAGAGGGGGGGGGCTCATCAGAATGTGGTAGCCAATGAATGGAAAGTATCGGGAGAGAGGGGCAGCAGTGTGTCGCTTGCGCACAATAGCTTCCACGCCGTCGCCCACCCTTTTTTGGCCCCTCTCTCCCGATACTTTCCATTCATTGGCTACCACATTCTGATGAGCCCCCCCCCCTCTCCTCCCCCCTCAACTCGCTTTTAAGGGATTACATCTTGAATCATTGCCTCACTTGATGCAGCTAATCTGGCTGTGACTGTCCCACCTGATGACGGAGACTTGTGTTGCCTCCGAAACGTCGTGATCTTTATTTTTTTTTATTTTTTTTATTAATTTTTATGTTTTACCTACGTGACTTTACCGATATTCAACATTTCATGAGCGGAGACAGCCGGGAGATTCGCATGGCTGATGATGCTCTGCCCGCATCATCGGACAGCAGTTGGCCTCCACCAATGACCTGGGCTCACACCTGGAACGCCGAACCGTGACGTGAATTGCACCCCACCATCGCGGGTGATGCGTGGGAACTAAGGGAAAAAATGTGTTGTCATTGTTGAATTTGGTTGCTTGGCACAACGTAGTGAGTGAACTTGTATACATTTATGTGACTGATATTGGGTTCCATGGTGTTTGTGGATGTCTAGAAGTAGTTCTTTGACGTCATCTTCCAGAGATTTTCTGTGACGCAAGGTAGCAAGCACGCTGATAGCTGCAGCGTATTACCTACACAGGATGTGAATAGCACTATTGGAATATCGTTTTAGATGAGCAAACATTAGTTGAAAAAGATGCGTACCCAGACAGAGTCCACGTATGAGGGCAAAACACAAAATACACCGAGGTCAAGAAGAGCCTACTTGCTGTACTACCGCTCACCGGTTGCCTCCTGTAGTACACAGTGGATTAGTCATGCACCGCCGTGCTTAGTAACCGCATTCAACTTCTGGTTCATTTCTTGCATCCTTGCCCCTTATATTATCACTCACTCGGCTTGTTGTTTACCCAGGAACGCCTCGGCGAGCCTCAAGACTTTCAGGAAGGTCCCACTAAGTTTGGCACTAGGGGCGATAACTGCTGTGCATCTCCTAATTTGTTTGAGAGTCATTTTTGGACCATGACACTGGCACACGATGGCCTAATCTTTCTTTGAATGGCGTCACGGTATCCGTAACGTCCACCGTCAAGCCTGACGGCATGCATAATTTTATGTTTAATACGCCCAATAACTTGGCAAGGCCTGCCGGATTCAAAGAGTGAACTTCTGCAACAAACAGCAATCTTAACACTGACAGTAAACCCTTGTTAATTCAACACATGGGGCTCTGGCCTTGCCAAATTATCCAATATTCCGAATTATGTAAAATGGTACTGCCCAGTCCCTTCCTGCCCCAATAAAAAGTAACACCATCAGCATCAATTGTATCCAAAACTCGCAGACTAAGGGATGTATAGTTTAACACGTAGGCTTTCGCGACCAATATCATCCATAATTCAGTTTTTTTTGGGTTAGATCGTGTATATAAGGGATTTGTACTTCAGTCCCTTTCTATTACTTCCTGATGTAGGTGTAGACGACGTTTCTGTGAGGGTTGTGGCTTGCACAAAGTGCTTAAGCAAGGTAAAGTCCAAAGCAACAGGTTTGCACGAACTCTCACCACGCTCGCCACGCTCGCCACGCTCACCATGCTCACCACGCTCACCACGCTCACCACACGCGCCGCCACTAGGCCGAGGCATTGTTTTGGCCGTGGCCACGTGTGTGCCCAAATTGGACCATTCGGTACGGCATTTCGGCTCGTGGCGAATTACTAATACTGTACATGTACCGAAAGCGCAGCCGTGCCGAATTATCCCCAATTAGGAATGATCAAATGCCGAAATAACGAGGTTTTACTGTAGTAGGCTTTTGTGACCAATACCCATAAGAGGTTTTTTTTGGGTTAAATCGCTTAAATATAAATGTGTCGTTAAACCCGCCACTACCCGACACAGCCAATTAGTAAGGTTTGTCTTACCGGTGTGCTAGAGAGTAAACCCGCATTGTAAATATTTTGGAATTACTCTCACCGGTGTGCTGAACTAGAAACGTTTTGTTTGACAAACAGTCGGGTGGTGGCGGGTTTAATGCCACATTTATATTTACGCGATCTTACCCAAAACACTTCTTATAGATAACAAGCGAAAATTGGCTACCACTGGACCGTGTCTGAAACTAAGGGGCCGTCCATAAATGACGTCATGCACCGAGGAGGGGGGGGGGGGGTTTGAGAAATGTGACGTCACATAAAAACGCGCAACTTTAAATAAATGTTAATTAAATATTGTTATAACAACAATAATTTTGATTCATTTTCATTATTAACTATTTGATTATTTTAATTTGCTAAGGTCACCTTTTATTTATTCCACGAAGGAGCATTTTGCTTCTCCACTGGAGAATGGAGAAGCATACATTTTGTAAATTATTTGAATGATTGTTATTAAACATTTTGATTCAAATGATTCTACCAGGGCTTTTCATTCTGTGGAATGAATATGTTATTGTTATAATTGTACTCTCCATTTTGCCTCGTTCTACAACAAAGTTTCAAGTATTTTTTTATAATTATATTTACTTTTAATATTTTATAATTCTAAGATAATTTCAATATAATATTCTGAACATTTGCAGTTTTAGTTAGACGTTGAATATTTTTATGTGAATTTTATGCTAAATTTCAGCTTTCCAACGCCTCCTTTTATAATAAGTTTTCTCCTACATCAGAGTGCAGCGCCACATTAAATATGTACTACAATGACAATAGTTTTAGTTTAAAGTGATTTGAAGCGTGTCTTATTTTCAAAATGGAAATATGGTTTTGGGGGGGGAAGGGGCAGAGCTTTGTGACGTCATATTTGAGGGGGGTCTGACTTTTTGTGACGCCGTGTGACGAGGGCGGGAGGTGGGGGTCAAAAATCGGCCAAAATCGCGTGACGTCACTTATGGACGGCCCCTAAACTACTAAACGATTTGTATTTTACCAGGTAAGGCCCCACTGAGCACTGAATCTCTTCTTCAGAAGCGACCGGGCCACAGATAATTCGCCAACGAAGTGGCTTATCGCGTGGAAATGTGTCACAGCCAAATGGCCGCTCCCTTGACTCTCTTAGCGTGAAAGGGTGTGACATGTGGCGAGCATCTAGGCGGCGTAGACGAGGCGAGCATCTAGGCGGCGTGGACCGGCTGTAGGCAGGGCGCATCCCGGCCTCTTGGCGTACCAGTCGGTGGAGCGGCCAGCACCATCCTGTCTCGTCTGCATCTCCTGGCGCATGTTGTTTTTGTGAACCCGTGTTTACGCAGGGCAGCACGTGTACGCACGAGTGTTCACGTGGGCATCGCGCAGATAAACAAAACATTTCCACATCGTCAGAATATTCCACTGTCATAAATGTACCCTCGGACTTGACACCCCCAGCACGACAAACCTCACAAGACATACACTAAATAATAGCATACGACGTTTCGATTGCAACACAAGCAACCGTCATCAGGTGTGAATGAATGCAAGCTTGGAGACACATATAGAGAGAGAGAGACAAACACAGACACGGAGAGAGACAATCACAGAGAGAGAGACAGAGAGACATCCACAGAGAGAGAGACAGACACACACACAGAGAGAGAGACGGACACAGAGAGGGACACACAGAGAGAGACACACAGAGAGAGACACATGGGGGAGAGACACAGATAAAGAGACACACGCAGAGAGAGAGACACACACAGACACACAGTGAGAGACACATAGGGGAGAGACACAGATAGAGAGACACGCAGAGAGAGAGACGCACAGAGAGACACAGAGAGAGAGACACATGGGGGAGAGACGCAGAGAGACACGCAGAGACACACGCAGAGAGACACACGCAGAGAGAGAGAGAGACACATATAGAGAGAGAGACACACAGAGAGACACAGAGAGAGACACATGGGGGAGAGACGCAGAGAGACACGCAGAGAGAGAGACACATATAGAGAGAGAGACACATGGGGGAGAGACGCAGAGAGACACGCAGAGAGACACACGCAGAGAGACACACGCAGAGAGAGGCACACACAGAGACACACAGAGAAACAACGCCTCTGTGACTAGGCATTATATATAGAGAGAGGGGGGGGGGCAGAGAAATGAGCATGTGAATGAGAGTGGCGGGGGGAGAGAAATTGGAAGTTGACAAATCTAGTAAAATTTAGAGAGCGGCAGGGGGAGAGAAATTGGAAGTTTGAGGAGACAAATCTTGTAAATTTAGAAATGTAATGCAACACAGAGAGTCGGCTAATACAACAGTTAACACTTTACCTGGTTGATTACGCTCTTCCAAAGATTGCTAAATTAGAAGTTTAAGTATGAGTTGTGTGGAAATCCTCCCCGTAGAGGTGGTTCAAACTTGATTTGAAGCTTTCCTGACTGCAGGAAATTACTCTTTGGTTTTTTCTGTAAAGTCTCGTGGAAATAAATAAATAATAGAATACGACGTTTCGATTGCAACACAAGCAGCCGTCATCAGCTGTGAATGAATGCACGCTCGGAGCTGTGTTGCATCGCATTACATTTCTAAGTTTACTAAGTTGGTTTTAGATTTAAAGCTTTCGTGACTGCAGGGATTCATCTTCTTGGTTCTTTCAGTAAAGTCACGTAGAAGGGAAATAATAAAATAATAACATTCGGATGCTGTCTTTCCGACAGCCTTGTTCTTCACCTGAGGACGGCTGCTTGCGTTGTGGCTGAAACGTCATGAGAATTGTATTTTATTATGTTTTATTTTTATTATTTTATTATTTCCCTTCTACGTGACTTTACAGAAAGAACCAAGAAGATAAGTTTGTTTTCTCAAACTTCCAACTTCTCTCCCCCCTGCCACTCTCTAAATTTTACTAGATTTGTCAACTTCCAATTTCTCTTCCCCCGCCGCTCTCATTCACATGCTAATTTCTCTGCCCCCCCCCCCCCCTCTCTCTATATATATAATGCCTCTTCACAGAGGCGTTGTTTCTCTGTGTGTCTGTGTGTGTCTCTGTGTGTGTGTGTCTCTCTGTGTCTCTCCCCCGTGTCTCTCCTCAATGTGTGTCTCTCTGTGTATGTCTCTGTGTCTCTCTCCGTGTCTGTCCGTGTCTGTGTTTGTCTCTCTGTATGTGCGTCTGTGTGTTTGTCTCTGTGTCTCTCGCTGTGTATGTGTCTCTCTCCGTGTCTCTTTGTCTCTCTTTCTGTGTCTCTCTCTCTGTGTTTGTCTCTGTGTCTCTCTCTGTGTGTCTATCTCCGAGCTCGCATTCATTCACACCTGATGACGGTCGCTTGTGTTGCAATCGAAACGTGTATTCTATTATTAATTTTCTTTTCTTTCTACGTGACTTTACCGAAAGAACCAAAGAGTAATCACTGCAGTCACGAAAGCTCCAAATCAAGTTTAAACCTCACAAGGTTATGTCATTTTCCAGCGTATTCCCATACTCGTTAAGGTCTAGCTTGCGCTCATCTGCATTGTTGATGTTGATCCGGTGGGAGAAATCACAAGCCATCTCTGGATGGCCTGTGGAAGATGTTCCCGGGCAGTTGGAAGCAGCCACCTTTCAGCAACAGAAGCAGAGCGCCCGGTGACCAACATAAAGAACCATTGGCACAGTGAGCAGCACAGGTGGTGCATTTGCACGGAATATCAGTCGGTTAACTCAAAACACCTGGATCTGTCTCGTGACCTTGCAGAGAGCATGTGGCCTGGCACAAACAGAGTGATGTCAGCGTCACTTAATATTGAATGACCGTTTCATTTTTAAACTGAAGCAGCAACTATTTTAAGTGACAGAATAATTTATTGAAGGTGTTCTATTTCAACCGGCCACTGGTTCACCATTGAGTTTGTTTGGTGCATCTGCATTGGTGTGGGTTAATCGGGCATATTACACGTGCAGAGAAACCGATGGGAATGTAGCGTCACACGTCCAGGTCTCAGGTGTGATGTGCAAGTTGGGGTGCAACTGATACATTAACTCCCCCCCTCCCCTCTGGTCTTTGCACCTGATTAGCTCAAAAGTGGCATCATATTTGACCCTCTAAGACCTGAAACAAGACGATTTCTCCACAACTATGACTGTTGCCTGAAGAGGCTGGTTGTAATTACCGGCGAAACGTAACGGTACTTGAATCGTAAATGTAGTGCTGGGTGCACTCTTCAACACACCGGTGTGCTGAACTAGTAACGATTTGGTGCTTTCTTTGCGTGTCGGGTGGTGGCGGGTTTAACGACACGTTTATATTTCCGCGATCTACCCGAAAAAAACCTCCGTTGTGGTGTACACCTATATGTATGCACGCACGTACACATGCATAACTTTGTGCCCATGTGAAACGGGAAGAGTACAAGCACTTATTAAGGTGCCAGTGTTCTCCTGCTTGCACTCGCCAATGTTAATGTCTGAGCACGTGTGTGGCTGCAGGCATTTGGGATGCCCGCCATCGTGGCGCACGTGGACGGCAAGCAGCACCTCTACTTCGGCTCTGACCGCTTTGAGCTGCTCGCGCACCTGCTGGGTGGGTGGCAGGCACCGCACCTCCCCACGCCACACCGGATGCCTAGCGGCGACGATGTTTGATTTTTTTTGGCGCGTCATTCACGCAAATTGCTGTGGATTGGGCACAATTTGTAACACGTATGGTTTTCGCACGCCGGAGGCACAATGGGAAACTAGTCGGATCGGCAACCTCAAATGGAGCTGTCAGTTTCCCAAGCTCTGTTGGTCTGATATTGAGATGTTTGGCCAAATCATGTGGGAGGATACCGGAGCAACTGCAGAAACCCACACAGGTGAAGGGGAGGGGGGTAACAACTCATTCGCCAGATGGAAATTAATCCACTTGCTGTCCTGCCATACCCTGGCAAGCCAGGAGATGGCGACTCGACGCCTTTTGGAAGCTTCACGAATGTGTGCGGTACACCAACCTCGGCCTCCGCAGCCAGCCACCAGTGTTCCAGTATGTGCCATTAAATCCTCCCAACTTGAAGGTGACATCACAAACAGGCTATGTGCATTATCTTGCAGTGAAGACATCCGCTGTGTAATGTGGCACATCCAACGTGAGATGAATTCAGCTTTGTGTGCAGAGTATATTCAGTTGCTGCTATTGTACCCATCCGCTGCACAGTAGCAAGGCATGGCCTTTCCTTGTTGTGTACATTACATCAATGGGGTAGCAGTGGACTGATCATAACAGCCTACCTCAGCATTATCTTGCTGTGGGTGTTCAACCTGATGAGGATCGCTTGTGTTGCGATCGAAACGTCGTGATTTGTTTTATTTTATTTGTACCCACTTGACTTTACCGAAAGAACGCAAGAGTATAGCCATGGCTAAGTTTCAAGCGATAACTGAATCAGTTCTTAGCTGCCCAATCTTCAACCCGCACTGACCAGCAAGGTAAAGTACGATCAATCTCCTGGACATCTGTGAAAAAAGTATTCGTAGCTCATCAGATTGCTCCAGTATAAAGATTCTGATTCAATCATCTCCCCCCACAACAACCATAATCTAATTCTAGAGTTGAAGCTTTCGTGACTGCAAGGATTCATACTCTTAGGTTCTTTCGGTAAAGTCACGTAGGTAAAAAAATTATAAAAAAATAATAATACATGAAAATAAATAAATTAAATCACGACGTTTCAGAAGCAACACAAGCCTCCCGTCATCAGGTGTAACTGCTCCAGTAAAATTACAATTACACACGCTACAGTCATTTTACTGGAGCAGTTACACCTGATGACGGAGGCTTGTGTTGCTTCCGAAACGTCGTGATTTAATTTAGTTATTTTCATGTATTATTATTTTTTATAATTTTTTTACCTACGTGACTTTACCGAAAGAACCTAAGAGTATGAACCATAATCTAGCAGTGGATAACAAAGAGCTTTACATTTTTTTCATTGTGACCACAAATCTACAAACCATTTCCATTGGCACCATCTATTATACGTGCAATTTTGCCCGTGCTTTCTGGAATCCTCCTTTGTACCTCCCCATGCCGACTTGCTCCGTAAACTCCAGTCGCCACCGCCGGCGGCTCCGCTCCATCTCCCGTAGAACGCTCAATGGCAACTCGCCCACCGGCACATTCACCTGTGCTGCCCCAATGGAAGACTCCCTCAGCCATTGACTGTGCCACCTTGCATGCTTCGTTTAATCTACCCTGAGGGTCACCAGGACTCCTCGTTGCTTCAGTTATCATAATTTTCTACACGTGCATAAACCCCATATCAACTTGCTCCTTTTGTTGTGCAGTGTGTTGATACAAGTGCATATAGCGGCAATATAAAATTACAAAATAAACAATCCAAGTGACTGTATTCCTCTCTTTCCATTCAGGAGAAAAATGGTATGGACCACTTCCCTCCCAAGCCAAGTTGTGAAGTCCGATCTAATCTTTTGACAGCAGCCTAAGGTTACGTATCAGGCCTGTCATCTCACACGTAATGAACCACTAAGCTAAATGAACACGATTGCCCATGAAAGCTAATTACTGTTTGAGATTTCCTGCTACTATTTTAAAGCAGATTTTCAGATGCCTTTAATATTTTACATTATGTGAATGAATGCTGTGATGTTTGTCTAATAAAGCGTGGATGAGTATCATTAGCAGCATTGTCGTCTGGGTTTTCTTTGGGTGGGTCAGTCAAGTAAGTTTCACCATCTTCTACCCAATGGCTCCCAAAGCCATCTGGACTCATGGACACAGTCAACCCTTGATATTTTCGTTGACCATGCAGTGTCAAAAAGAAGTTGTGAAACAAAAAATAAATGGTTGTCTGCAAGTTCTGCGGATCCTTTCACTTGGCCTGGCAGACCACCAGTTGGGGCACCACTGAACCTCCCCAATGCCTCTGCCCCATGAGGTAGAGCAGCACCGAGCACAGCTTCACAGTGGCAGGACAGTATTCCCTCGTTATGCTGGTAGGAACCTCCTGGTTACACCAGCCCACAGGGGATTATTCTGGTAGGAACCTCCTGGTTACACCAGCACACAGGGGATTACTCTGGTAGGAACCTCCTGGTTACACCAGCACACAGGGGATTACTCTGGTAGGAACCTCCTGGTTACACCAGCACACAGGGGATTACTCTGGTAGGAACCTCCTGGTTACACCAGCACACAGGGGATTACTCTGGTAGGAACCTCCTGGTTACACCAGCACACAGGGGATTACTCTGGTAGGAACCTCCTGGTTACACCAGCCCACAGGGGATTACTCTGGTAGGAACCTCCTGGTTACACCAGCACACAGAGGATTACTCTGGTAGGAACCTCCTGGTTACACCAGCACACAGGGGATTACTCTGGTAGGAACCTCCTGGTTACACCAGCACACAGGGGATTACTCTGGTAGGAACCTCCTGGTTACACCAGCACACGGGATTACTCTGGTAGGAACCTCCTGGTTACACCAGCACACAGGGGATTACTCTGGTAGGAACCTCCTGGTTACACCAGCACACAGGGGATTATTCTGTCCGTCGTGCAGGGAGGGGCTGGTTGGGGAGGGTGGGGCTGGGAGGGGAGGGTGGGGAGGGGTTGGGTGGAGGGGCTGGGTGGGGAGGGGTTGGGTGGAGGGGCTGGGTGGGGAGGGTGGGGCTTGGTGGGGAGGGTGGGGCTGGGTGGGGAGGGGCTGGTCACCCCGTGGTGTCCTTATAAAACTCAACGTTTAACCTACTCACGCCGGCTTGTGTCCGCCCTCAGTCGGCCATATTTGCGGAATACACCACGCCGCCGTTGACCCTGGCCATTGACCGAGCAACCCAACGTTCCTACCAGCTCCCTCCGCAGGAATGTGTTTCACAAGCTTGCTGTCCGTGAATCGTGTCTGGAACTCTTCGTAATGAGAGAGAAAGTGACGAGAGAGAAAGTGACGAAAGGGATGAAAGAAAATGTTATGATGAAGAACCTCTCGAAGCATTTGTAGTTGTTGCACATACGAGATCGAACTAGAAGCATCTGTGTAGACGTTGCCTCCATGCTCATTTATTGTAACAAATGTAATATTTTTTGTTATAATTCTTACGTATTTAATAGCTTATGTGTTTAAGATCATTACTGTAGGCAAATCATCACCAAATGTGCTATTCATGAGCATCTCTGAAACGTATCCCTTGCGAATCACGAGGGGATATTGTACCTCCACAGCACTAGCCGACAAAGACCACCTCGTGCACACGTGAAAACAAAACTGTTTCTGTGGCAGGTTCACGCACTCTCTCTTCTATGGACATTTTCACGTGCAAACGATTGCTCGTGCACAGGTACAATTACCTTTCATGAACGGTTGAAGGCAGGGCTGAATTTCTCACCAAATATTTTCCTGTTTGCCGGTGGACTGGAGTAGACACGTGAATAACAAGTGGCCAAGTAGTGTCCTGTATTTGGTGTGCTGGTTATGGAATCTCTTCTGGGTCACCAACCCAGACTGGCTGACATTAAGCCGTACTTACTGGTGAACAATTTTGTACACACGTTAAAGAATCGTGGGTAGGTTGCTTGTCTAATGCAGACTCGTTAGATGCTGCCATTTGTAGAAATGGAGAGAGATGTGAATGACGCAGACACGAAACAACAGGTTGTGCGCACAATCACTCGCGCTGGAGAGACGTGCACATCCAAACGGACACTCGTGCCGACAAACTTTTACACAAATGAGCATGGACTGTTGGTCAGATGCACAGACAGTAAAACTCATTCTTTTATTTTTACACGACAGTTCTTTGAGTTTGGTCAATACATACAATATGTGAATGTAAAAAAATATACAATACCCATCGATGAATTGTGCTGAATGCGATACTTTCTTGGAACAAAAAAAAATCAATTGTTCTTGCCCAAGGAATAGGGACAAATATACCGCATTAGCACGAGCTTCAGAACATGTTCAAGTAGTAACCTGCCACAGGACATCTGTTACTGGTAGGAATCACCTCCTGGTTACACCAGCCCACACGGGATTATTCTGTCCGTCCGTCGTGCATCCAAAAATGGGAGGGGTGGGGCTGGGTGGAGAGGGGAGGGTGGGGAGGGGCTGGGTGGGGAGGGGAGGGTGGGGCTGGGTGGAGAGGGGTGGGAGGGGTGGGGCTGGGTGGGGTGGGGCTGGTCACCCCGTGGTGCCCTTATAAAACTCAACGTTTAACCTACTCATGCCGGCTTGTGCCCGCCCTCACAGTCGGCCATATTTGCGGAATACACCACGCCGCCGTTGACCCTGGCCATTGACCGAGCAACCCAACGTTCCTACCAGCTCCCTCCGCAGGAATGTGTTAAACTCCACGTGACGGCCTGGTATTTCCAGGCTACCAACACACTGCTGCTCACTGTTTAGACATCCGTGTGTGGGCGCTAAGAAACCCGGCACCCTTGGCCCCACTGCAAGTTTGTGCTGAACCCAAGGCTATGTTTTGATGAGGCCAATATTACCCGTTCCTTGCTCTAAAGCCCAGTGCACATAAAATATGCATTGGGGAAGTCTTGGGTCAAGTGTCATTTCTAATTCATCCCAGGCATCACAGTAATTGTTCTTTTGTATAAAATTAGTTGTGGAGTTAGCAATGCTGTGTTTGTAAGCGTTAAGCCTCAGATTTCTGTGACAATTCGTTTCCTGCCGAGTCTTGTAAAAATCACTTGTTAAGCAAGCCACCTGAAATGTTCCGGTAACGTGATTTAATTATTTATAAGCCACAAATCAACACAAGCAACAATGTTACCAACGTCATCAGCGAGGAGTGTGCTTTTACACCAAACACTTCTCAAGTTGGCTCAACAAATGTGGTTGCACCATTATGCTGAGCCCAGATTACAAATGTCCTAATGGTAGGAAGCCTCATTCATCTCAATCAATACAGATGATTCTGAGTAGATGAGCACAGAACTTGCATCTGAAATCACCGCATGTTAGACTTGAGTATTATTGGAAAATCAGCCGATAGAATTATAAGAGGATGCAGCTGAGACCACTGAGAATTTCATGAAATGGTCGGCAATAACTGAACAAAACCAATCTGCATTTAATTTTGCTGGCTCAGACACAAGAGCTAAAATGTGTAATGATATCCAACACATGACATACAACCACTCTGTATACAGCATAACACCTTGCCGTTCTAATCAAGGAACATAAACCATCATCACGCGAACTCCGGTCATCCTCGCAGCGGCTTTTGGCCAGCCATCGAACACGGTCCCTGTATCGCGTGCTTTCAGATGCGCTTCTGTGGCCGTCTGGAACGCTCTTCCTTCCGATATTAGGAAGCCACTGGAGCTATGCACGTTTAAATCATCTCGATTGAAAACTCTTTTTTTTAGAACTGCTTTTTTGTGTTTAGATTGTCCTTCCCTGCACCTCACACGGTTGGCTACGTACGATACAAAAGAAGTTCAACATACATGAAAGTTCTGTGCAACAGCTTTCATCTTACACAGGCAGCTTCAAAGGTTTCTTGCTTGACTATAAGAGTGGAAGAAAAAAAAGTTCAAATGGTGCTTTTCTCAAGAGCATTAAGTTGGTCATCATATCATGTTTACAGCCATGAGCCGGTGATAGAAATGCCACATTCCCATGGTAGGAGGGAGTGAACATATCCACACTATTTTGATTGACCTAAGAGGCATGATGGGCTGAGTCAACCCCCCAACCAGGGTTTGAAATGAAAACCTTCACATTGAAATCTGCTCACTCTGCTGCTGATCCACCTGGCCAGGTCAGTGGAAGATAATAATAATAAAATCGAAATAACATCTTTAAAAAAGAACAACGCTATTAAAGCGATGCCGGGCCAATGGCGGTCAATGTCTGCTTGTTAACGCGTAAGGCAAGCGGCATGCGCCATCCGCTCGTTCACTCGCTCACTCACTCGGTAGCAGCGCGGCGGTACCAGAAGCGAGCGCGGTAATCGTCGCTGCAGGTCATGAAGCCAGCGCTGGTGGGCGAGTGGACGAGGCAGCGGACGGCATTGTTGTGGCCCAGCGAGAGGAGGTTCTTGCGCTCCGTGGTGCGGGAATCCCAGCAGCAGAGGCTGACTGTCCACTCGTCGGGGAAGAGCACGTAATCCTCCGTGTGGTTGAACACGGCCTGTGTGCGGTGAGTCTGCTTCCCGCTGAGGCCAGCGCCTTGCGGATGAGGTGCGTCGGGGGTCGGGGTTGTCAGGAGAAAGGTATTTATATATTCAAAATTATTGTATAAAGCCAATACAACTTTACATACACATTCCCGTGCCAACATGTAAGCGGGTGATGCGAGGCTACGGCATACATTTTTTTCAAGTTAAAAACAGATTCTAGATTTGAAGCTTTCGTGACTGCAAGGATTCATACTCTTTGGTTTTTTCGGTAAAGTCACGTAGGTAAAAAATCTAATAAAATAAATTTAATTTAGTTATTTTCATTGATTTTATTTTTTACCTACGTAACTTTACCGAAAAAACCAAAGAGTATAAAAACAGATTATTTTTGTCTTGCATTTCATGTCGAACAAGTATGACAAATAAGCTACATTGTTTCGTGGCTTGTGCAAGTGCAAAAAAATGCTTTAACAAATAAAATGACAGAATGAGCAATCGAGCATCAAAAGCATCATGTCCACGTGTGCGCACCGACACAC